TTGTGGCTAATTGGCTAATACTAGATCTAGATCTAGATCTAGAGTCTAATACTTATGTGTATCTGACTGCAGGAAAAACTACTGCAGTTTGACCCCGTGCTGTAGGCGCAAGCAGTGCATCTAGATCTAGATCTAGATCTAGATTCTAGATCTCTAGATCTAGATCTAGATAAGAAATCTAGATTTATCTGTGTGCTGGAGTGAAAGTAAAAATTTACCAATAATATATTACGAATCCGAATATATTAAACTTCACCTTTCTGAGAAGTTCAGTGAGTAGGCTCAACTCAACAGGGAGCTAAAAATTAAACATCCAGACATCGAGTCGTCTACGTAGATCCAGAACCGGTACAAAGTAAACAAACAACTGGATGTTTCGGACTTCCGGGAATTCCTATTCTTAGAGTAATAATAACATTAATATGTCAGCACAAATTCTTGGAATACACGAAGGGAAATAACTACAGCGACACGAGTAAAAATAGAATAATCACGGTTATCTTATCCTGATTCAATATGGTGAGCTGTTCATTTTTACCTGTTCAAACGTGAATACCGAGAAGAAAAAAGTAATCTTCAAAATAGAACAAAGAAATAAGTTTTTGCTGAGCTTGGCTTAACCTACATCTAAAACCTCTTTCGACGTTCGGTAGTTTAGTAAATTGACAATTTCCGTGGCAGCATCTCCCTTAAACACCCGTTTGCGAGAAACAGTCCTAACAAAAGAAACAAAACAAAACAAAAAACCCTCTTTTTTTGTGCTTATGTATTGTCTGTGCGTGAAGTAAACAGAGAATATCGCTGTCTCGAAAAATAAACCGATCTGGTACTACAAGATCTGCTTCCGTCCTTGGTTGATTATCGACTTTTCAGAGTGGAGAAAGGTCTGGGGTGGCCCGAATAGACGCGGGGATATGGGTATGACGTAGTGTAGTTAAATTTAGTTTTAGTAAGGTTTTACGGAGCTCGCAACTGCATACCGTCATATATGAGCGCTAACGGTTGGATGTAAACAGAGAAGTCCAAACGTGGAATCAGGCTTACTCCGCTCACCCCTCTAGCCTCAACAGCACAAAGTCTGCTTCAACTATCACGGCACCCCGGAAATAGCAGTTCACAAGAGAGTGACAAACATACAAAAGAAGTAGAGGAAAACGACGATAGTAAGGATGAGGAAAGAAAAAGCAGCAGTACCCCATATGTTGTTCTGGCACAGCATGAGCATGACATTGATAAATCAGCCTATTTACAACTATAATGTGCATAAGAACATGTTAATATCCCCCTTTGGGAATGGTCTAAAGACACTAAAGTCAGTAGCACTGCCCTTGGGGGGGGGGTGTGGTGTTTTTTTTTTTTAGGGCCTTTGTTCTTCTACTCGTGTTTTTCCCCCCCCCACACAGACACGTTCCCCCCCACCTCAAACCCTCTTTTTTTTTGGGGGGGGGGGGGGGGGGGCGTGCGTGTTGTATGTGTGTGTATTTGTGCACGCAAGTGAGTGTGCATTTTGATGCGGTGTGCGTGTGTGAGTAAAATTATTTAAATTGTATGAATTTGCTATCTACTGCTAAATCAATATTTCTGTTTGAAAACGTTCAGTTAGAATAGTATATTTTTCAATACAAACCAAAACACATGTTAAGGGCACTTCCCAAAAAGACAATATTCTTATACAAAAACGATTCAGAAGCTCTGTTACATCACGTAAGTCAATGTCAGGAGCAGATTTTAGAAGTGATCAATTACCAGTTGTTTGCAAGTTTGTATGGCACTGATAATGACATTCTTTATTCATCTCCCTGGGAGAAATGAATTTGTCTTGGTTGCTTTCAATGGCTATGGATGTTTCAAAGGTTAGGTGCACTCACGCATACGCACAACAAGACAAGGCATTAGTAAATACATGTCTCATGTGCTGAAGCAACCTGCAGCGTAAAACAATCTCTCTCTCTCTCTCTCTCTCTCTCTCTCTCTCTCTCTCTCTCTCTCTCTCTCTCTCTCTCTCATCAAAACAAAGAAACCACCAGAATTATACTTTCTGAATACCTTGCACTGATTTTAAAAAAGTGAAGACGACATAACATGCTGTAGTCAAGAGCAAGGTTGAATTACTTGAAAATATATATCAAATTTTCAAGCAGAAGAAAAGTGGCAAAATGATGGAAAGTTCTCAAAAGGCAGCCGATGACCACGTATCAAGAGAGCACATATAAAATAGTAGAGACATTTGACCTTAAGGAGGAAAGAAGAAAACACACAAGTGATGAAAAGAAATACCGTACAAAGATATAGACCGACATGTCAAAATGAAATGCAAAGAAGCAAAAGATACATGGACACACAGCGGCGTGAGGTGCTGCTGGAAAGAAATGACGCTCAGTCACCCATCTGAGAGGGCCAAGTAGGTCTACCTTTCCCATCAAGGTACTATTAGAAATGATGGGTTTTAATTTTTTATTTCCTTTTGCGTTTTGTGCATGCGTGAGCCAATACGAATAAATGGCAGAACCAAAACATGCGCTCATATACATAATGTATTTACGTTAGTTGGGCAAAAGCCGAGATAGGTGCAGAATTGGACTTGGATGTGCAAGTGTGAAGCCGTGTTAATGTTAGAGCACAGCCTCAAAGAGAACATACGCGTAATTTTCAGCCAGAAATGAAAAGAAAGACAGAATTGAATTTTTAACATGTAGGCTAAGTGAAGCAATTATTTCCTCATCTACATTGTATTAATTTTGTATAATGTGCTCGTATGTCACGGACGATCCGTGCGCGATGGTGGATCAGGTCGGGCTGGATACTCCATACTGCACTGTGAAGGCGTATTGGAGGAATATTGTCAGGGTTGTAATGAAACTGAAAAAAGTACAATCTATAATTGTATTATGTAAACAACGTACTTATGGAGGACAAAAGAGAAGAAGGAAGAGGGGGAGGGGGAGGCGCTTTTGGCTTTCACCTAGTACTGCCCTTGTGGATACATTCTCAATGTGAAATAATGGAATATGACAAGGCCAAAGTTGTTTTGGATTGTGTAGCATGTTGTTGTCCCAGAATAACAAGGATCTGACTCGGAATTCTTTGCGTTTGAAGTGAACATGTCTGGGGCTTCCTCAGTACCCACCCTACACTACTATCATTATATTAATATGTAAAAGTTAGAAGTCATATTCCTTTATTTTTGCGTGTAAAAATCATATTAATTTAATCGTTTATTTGAGAGATATATTGTGTGTTGAAACTTTGACCTCAAATATCGCAAAAGCGAGTGGAACTGACACAGAACCTTGTTATTCTGGGGTCACGATGTATATTCAATGAGCCTCAACGATTGCAGTTTCTCCTCACGCCCAGATCGTTGAAGCTCATTGAATGTACATGCTACATAATTTAACGCATTTCCTCGCGTGGACAGGGAGTCCAGTTCAATAATTGACACGTGATTATTTTCTTTTAAAGTCCTTATTAACCTCTGCCCGTGTGCAGTCAGGGACTACGCAGGTCGCAGGAGCTTTACATTCGAAAGGCTTCTGAACTGTTCACAAACAAACAATCTTTCTTTGCTCAACTAGTCGATGACAGCATTAAGAGCGAAGAGCTTCGGGCACGGCTTTGGCAATCCTCGACTGGAAATCCATAATAACAATGAAAGAAAAACAAAACAAAACAACAAACATACAAAAATTACACCGAGACAAAATAACCCGAAGACCTGAGGCAGGATTTGGAGTGTGATGTCGTTTTGGGTTCATGGATGTCAAGCTTAAAAAAATGAAATGGATAAAGAGCGCTAAAAGATTGGTAAAAAGGTTTAGCAAGTTAAGCCTACATGCTTTTGGACTTCACAGTATCCAGTTTGCCGTTGGCGTGACAGGTATTAAATGACCTGCTGGGAAAAACACAGACGTGTGAAGGCGAGTGAAGTTTGTCCATGCAAGCATATCATTATAATGCTAATGAACCTAGAGAAATGCTTAAAAAGAGACCCAGGCGAAGTGAAAGTGAAAAGTCTGATTGTATTATATTGTTTCGGTTGTTGGTGCAATTTTTTAAATACGATTCGCTACGTGGAACGAAAGAGAATCGTGAGGTATTATATTGGGTTTTGAAAAAAAAAGAAAGAAATGGCAAAGCTGGCTGCGTCAGACGAAAAGTTGTCTCTTTAGGAAAGATTCTGGCTGAAAGAGGAGTAAAAAGAAATTTTGACCTCCCACTCCGAAGCAATCGTAGATGTTTCATAGCCCTCTTATTGACGCAACTATCCCTCAGGGCCTGCATGGGCTGAGAGAATACAACGTCCCAGAAGAAAGACGGAGACAAACAAATTTTCACCACTCAGGAATCGAACGTTCGAACGCGCGTTTTCTGCGTGCAACGGCGAAGCGCCTAGATCTAATCGCTGCACAACAGAGGCCTGTCTGCCTATTCTCGAAAGGAGAAGCCATTTTCGCCCCACAATTTTCATTTTTGAATTTCATTGTACCTGTTTTCGTCCTACCCGTTTTACTTAGGTTATAGCTCTGATTATAGGGCCTACAGTTTCAATAAACAAACCTTTGTAATAAAGCTTGTAAAAATCTGTTATAAATCCAGGGAAAACTTTGCACATTATTTACAGCCAGTCTACCACTGACTCAAGAGATGATAGGCTGAAATTTCCTGCAAATAGCAGAGATAGAGTATGGTACGTCTCAAAATATCAGCACACCCAGACATCAGCGAGAGAGAGAGAGAGAGAGAGAGAGAGAGAGAGAGAGAGAGAGAGAGAGAGAGAGAGAGAGAGAGAGAGAGAGAGAGAGAGAGAGAGAGAGAGAGAGAGAGAGAGAGAGAGAGAGAGTGAGAGAGATTTTCAAGCATTCAGTTTTTATTTGGTAATTATTTTACGGCGCTCGCAATTGCATAAGGTCATATGAGCGCGCGGGACACCCCAAATTTTTAAATTGTTTGGAAATTTTGAATTTTGCCCGGGTGGCGACCGAAGCCTACTCTTATCGATTTTGGACCACCAAGGGATCTTTAACGTGCGCAACTTGCACACGGGACTTGCGAGATTTTTCGCCCTTGTCCGAGAAGGCTAGGTGTAGATCTTTTCTACCAGAATGTCAGCGGTGTGACTGAAAGACAGTAGTAAGGAGTCAAGGAGAAGCAGTCGAAAGGCTGCAGAAAGAGTCAGGGGCGCAGTGGAGGGGGTAAAGGTGGTGAGGGGGTGGTGGCAGAGAGTGGAGACGAAAGTAGACAACAGAATATTACAGGAGAGAAGGAAAGAAGGTGAAAGGAGACCATTTCAGAGAAGAC